ATGCCTTCATAGTGCTACTACTGTTTACTGCTGATGCTAGAACGGATGCGCCATGTGATAAAATATTGTTTCTGTTCAAACTAAGCTATTTGCAATGTTCATTGATAATTGCTCGTTGAACAACAATTGTCATATCTTCATCAGACAAATTTTGTTCATCTAAGTCAATAACCGAACTCGATTGACATTTATTAATGTAATGTTCGAGTTTTCTATTATGATATAACGCTGGTGCCAATGGTATTGAAATAAGAGGATATTGTGGCTGAATTTCCTTTAATTGAAGGGTGCGGGTGTCGGTGGCTGTGGATCTGGGTGTTTTTCCTCTCTTTACCCACACTCTACACTCCACACCCACATCTCATACCCGCACCCAGCACGTTTGAGACGAGCGAACATTTGGAGAGAATTTGGGAAAAGAATATGAGCACGTTGTGTGTCAGCAAACGAAGACATTGAGAACAAGCAGCTTGGGATGTGTTCGTCTACTGGCGTACAGTGTATTCGGGTTTTTTCTCCAAATTCTCTTCGAGTGTTCACAAGCGTTTATACCTTCAGAACTCGCTTTTGTTCTGTTCGCCTCAATCTGGAATTAAACCGTCCATTTTTTTTGGATGTTTTATGAACCGCCCTAAAATTAGCATTTCGACCAATATAGATTTGGAAGATAGAATAGTTCAAGAACAGCTCAGTTGATTGAGTTGCAATTTTTTATCGGTACATATCTCTATAATTACTACTCAGCATAAAATTTTCACTCCAAAAATGGATCTCTTAACTTTTTATAATTCACATTCAATGCGGACAAAAGTTTACATTATCAACGACTTTAGTACTTCATAACTAGTGATTGGAATATAATAGTGGTCTGAAGTTTTTAATAGCCCCATGCTTTACAAAGATGCATATTGACTACAAATTTCGCCTTAATCAGTTGAGTCACTCGTAAAATACGATCTTCTTAAAACATCCATTTGATCGAAGTACTCGTTTTAAGACTGTTCAATGTTTTTCAAGTCAACCTGCATCGAAATTGAGAAAACTCTTTGCTCTACAACAATATCTTATATTTAGAAGAAGGATATGGGTGTGAGTTCAGATCTTATTACATCCACACTCGCGGCCACACCGACACACTCGACAGGCGACACTCACTTCTAAGTTTTCTGCCGCAAACGCTCAATTAATATCAATCAAATTACTTTTTTATTTAAAACTTCACACAAGCACGGTGCTTAATTTTTATTGCTTCATTAACTTAATTCAAATTAGTTGCGCTTTCGTTCACATTTCAAAAAGAGACAAAAAAATTTGAAGGATATGGGTGTCGGTGTGACGATCTTGGGTGCTGATTGTGCGTGAAGGTGGATTATATGTGACTCATCACTAAAATAATGCGATAAACCAACATTCACAGCCATAATGAAATCCACTAACAATCACATTCAACACCCATACCAACACCCACACCCTTGTTAATTTGATTGAATATTCGATGCGTATAAATCAATGACTCCGTCTTGAAAGGTACCATACTTTATATTGACTAATCAATGAATCTAAACCCGGACAAAACGTTTTTCGTACAAATCATTCGACCATCACAGGATGTGGAGTGAGCGAGGGTTTTCACTTTGCATAAAATACTCTCAAAAATCCCATCCTTGCATTGCTGTTACCCTCAACTAGGACTATTGCCAGAAGTTGTTCGAAGAGGCTGAAGCCTTTTCAGTTCTCGTTGCTTACGGCACTGATTTCAATCTCACTCTCATTCTCAAGATGTATAACTCAAGAACACTGCAATTGATTGATGTGCATAGAAGGAAACTCAACAAGTAGCTACAAGAGTTGCAAACGGAGAGGAATATAGAAAAGAAAAAATAATAATTCATTTCTTCACAATGTTGGCAGTGAAGGAACTCCAATGATTTCATGCAATGGATGTATAGTGAGTCGATAATAAAATTTTATATGTCGTCGCAAACAATTGTAATAAAGTGATTTTTTTATGTATTATCAATTGAGATGTGATATTGAACTGTAACAGTTGATAGTTGATTCTTATTGTCTGAGGATAATAGGAGAGAAGGAATCCATTGAAAATTCACTTGAAAATAATTGTTTGCTGTAGAATCTTCGTTTGTATTGTCAAATCTAACACAGTTACAACATCTTGCAGTTTTTTTTATAGTAATCAAGATAGAACTTGAACAGATCATGACAAGTTTTTTGTTTACGAAACGTTAAATATTGAGGTAATATGTCAGAATTACGGAAACTTCTGAGACTGTTCAAATAATATATTCTACACACTAAAATAAAATGTGTCGCACTAATGTGTCGTTCACGATAGTGTCGCACACATCACTACAAAAATGTGTCGCAGTCAGAATGTGTCGTATTATAGATGTGTCGTGGTCTGTCCGCTAATCATTCATTCACCGTTTTGTTTTGCGTGCACAGCTATATATAACCGACACAGTTGAACAGACTAAACTTACACATTTTTGTATGCCTTGTCTTCTAGATTATTCCTCGAATAGCCATTATTCGAGCACATGTTCAGAGATCGATAGATGATCCAGAATGGACTGCCTGGAAGCGGTCTGATCGAGATCAAATCGATTCGAGACGGAGAGACCTTAAGATCTACCCGTCTTGAATTGTACGAATAAGCATTACTAATTTATTTTAAGCTAAAAAACAGAATTATTCGCTTCTGTAAAACAAAAAAAAAAGAAAAAAACGATGAAGAATAGATTCGAACCCACGTGGTCAAAATGTGTCGCACTTTTATGCGTCGTGCGCTTGCTGGAAGAAATGTGTCGCAACGAGCTCCTCGTGTCGCACTTGAATGTGTCGTACATTGTATTGCAAAGTACGACACATGCGACACATTTTATCTTAGTGTGTAGGAAAGCAGGAAAAATTTTGTAAAATAAACGTCTCAAAGTCCTCAAGTTTCCGAAGTCTCTTTTTCTAGATACTTGAACTTTGCTAGACAATGTTGAACGAAAAATTATTTTTCCACCTAACTGTGGAATCTTCTTTCTGAGTTTATAGTTGTAAACGTCGACAGTTTTATATTGTCATGATTTTGCTTTCGTACAAGACTCATGAATTTCACGTTAAAAATGAATATTTAAGCTATGAGTACTCAGGTTTCGAAAATAGAACATAAAATTTTTTTTTCATAAAGGAATTATCAAAATTCATAAACTTTCCGAAATATCCTCTTTGCATCGGTACATAATTTAGAGAGTAATGTAAATTATAGAAATCGGAAGAATATTCGAAAATTTTTATTAATATTAAGAACGGACTCATCAGCAATCATATTTTCGACATTATTATGCCACACAGTATAAGATTTCCATCAATGACCGAAAACACGTGACGAAATTCATGAATACAGTACACTCTGTCCCATGAAAAACTCGCGTTCGATTCCGTCAATAAAATATTTTGTGTTGTACAATTAGACAGCGTAAATTTCGAGTTGTGAACGAAAATTTCTTATTTTGAAGTTCGCAATGACTAAGCGATCAAAATGTTTCGTATTCTAATTCGTATCATTCTGTTATTCTAGGTGCGAAAATGTTCATACAGTTTCCAGCTAAAATATTTCTTGAAATGAAGGGACTCTTGTTGAATGTAACTAACTTAGAATCTTATGTTCTTCATGAATGTCGTCGGTGGAAGTTTCTTATTTCCTTGTTGATTATCATGGGGACATTCATATTATGTATAGCTCCTCATATTGGCTTTGATGATCCAACAGTATGGTCTGTCGATGATCTTCATCTCCCTCAATCTCTTCAATGTCTACACAAAAACGCGACTAGACTCGAAATCGGTCGTTTGCATTTAGCTCGCAGTCGCGTCATTATCTGTGGATTGATACACGATCGTGAACAGCACATTCCTCGTCTGAAGCAACAAATCGAAGAAATCATGCAGCTCTTTGCTGATTTTGCCATTGTCATTGTGGAGAGTGATTCAAAAGATAGAACCCGACATGAACTAATCAGTTGGGCTCAGGAAAAGAAAATTGCTGGTCGAATTCATGTTATAGGATGTGGTAATCGAGTTAATGATGATCGTTCGTGCAATTTATCCCTGGTTATCACTCAACCAACGGTTCATCGAGATACGCCACGCATCGAAAAGATGGTTCGTCTGCGAAATATCTACATGCAATACATTGAAGACAATGCTCAATTAGCAAAATTTGATTATGTAATCATACAAGATTTTGATTTGCGGACGTACACCTATACTGATGGAATCTTATCAACCGGTTTTCATTTAAGCAACGATCCAACTATCGATGCAATATGTGCCAACGGCATTCATCATCATAGAATCTTGGGTCGCAGAAGATATTATGATCCGTACGCACATAAAGATGAACGGAATCGAAATTGGAGTGTATGGTTCAATGACCGCTGGTCAACACTTTTTCGAAAATATCCATGCAGTACTCATTTAGTTCCTGTGCGTTCGTGTTTTTCTGGTAGAACTATTTATCGATATACAAGCATAAAAGGAAAGCGTTATCGCACGTATCCTGACTTATACCAGCAGCCGATTTGTGAACATGTCGGATTCCATGAGACATTAAACAAAATGTATTTAAATAGTGAAATGATTTTTTATGTAATAAAAAATCATTTTTGGTGATTGACATAAAGCAAACTCAGGTGTGAGTGTGGCATAAGCAGACCATCGTGTTACATTCAGCCGGACCAACAGATTTTAATATCCTATTATTATAAAAGAAAAAACACATTTTCCACCTTGTGTGTGCCACGGATAATTTTTTTTTAGATGTGGCAATCTCCCTCAATTATCCTTTGGTGGCTCGCTCATGGGTGTGGATGAATATAATAAAGTACACCCACCCACACACGCATCTGAAGTACAAATAAATCATCAAAATTTGTTTATTAACAAAAAAAAGATATTCAATAGAACATATAGAGCGATAGTTTGTCTTCTCAATGATAATATCTTCGTTGATGCTCATGATCGTATCGTGTTCTTTTATTCTGATGTTCAATTCGTTCTTCAGCTCTCGAAAATATTCTTGTATAGCCTTGTTCATTGGATATATGGATTGAACGTTTTATCAAATCAATCACATCATCTGATGATTTGATCATATTATCTAGTTTGATGGCTTGAATAAATTCACTGTATTTATCTATTGCTTTTATAGCTTTTAAGCGCTGTTGAAAATTTTCAACAATAACTGGTGGTGGATATCCATATGCTGCATCTAAAAATCTAAAACAAATAATATATTAGAATAGAATAGATGACAAAAAAAGAATACAATGAAACTTACTTTTTTACCCCAGAGAAGATAAATGTTTGAGCCATTTCTAAATTAAACACTAATAAATGATTTGATACTTTAGCAGATTTAAATATATCAGGTAAATCACCAGATTGTATATCTAATAAATTTTTAATCAAACTATTTCTTTGAATCCAAAAGATTTGTCGAGCAAAATATTCTTCATAAACATATTTTCTTATTTCACTTAATTCATATTTACTTGACAATGCAATTTGTATTAAAAATTCGCCAATATCTGGTATGGTATTTTTATTACGATAACATAACTTTCTTGTAAAATCTTCTATTCTCTCATTGATTTTTCGATCTAAAATGATAGAGATTTGGAAATTTTGTATGTTCTACGACAGCATCAATTTGTTTGCTAACTTACCTAATTCAGGATAAATATCAATGAAATGCATTAATAAACGTAGAAAATGACAATAAGCCTCTATGGCATATTTTGATTCGAACATTTGACCATTGAATAATTGTACAGCTGATTTATTCATCAATGATGTTAATACACTCAATGCTATTGATGGAGTAAAATCATATTTTACACTTCCTCGAGCCGTACCATAATGAATGACACTAATACTATTTTGAATAATTATTTTTCCTTTTTCAAAATGATTCTCATTAATATATATTGGTAACCAATGATTATAATCTCGTCCTGTAACTGAACGAAATTGGCAGTTTTCATAAAAATCTAATTTGTCTCCACCTGATTTTTGTATTTCTGCAATATATGCATCGTATGAGATGAGTTCCAAAACAATTTCTGACCATAATCTGCCCGTATGATCACGTTTAATCAATAGTGGATAACCTAAGCAAATATTATCTTCGATAACATTTTGTTTAGTTACACCACATGTCAATTTTTCTAAAAGTTCTTGATGGAATTTCATGCGTTCACGTTCTGCCTTCAGTTGTTCTTCATTGTCTTGTGTTATTGTTCCTTGGTTTTCTTCTGGTTTAACTGATACGATGGCAGTATAATCAACGATGGTTGGATTTGGTTTGTCATAGGTATGACCACAAGTGGAACATTTAAAATATTTCACAACTCTATGTAAATGTTCAATGCGTTCTGGAGGTGGATTAACAAAAAGATCCGGTTCGGCAAAAAAAGTAACAATTTGAAGAAGTGCAGTCGATAATGTATAACCAGGACTATAAAAGTCAACGAAGAAATTAATGCAGAAAGACTTATATTAATATTAGATGCATCAAAATTACTTCATTCAAAGTTAAGATAAATTGAACTAACTTATTTTATTTAGCAAACATTTAACAGTAACTATTATTCTAAGAGAAAAAAGATTTTTGAACATTCGGGAACTGAAATAAATTTTTGGAAATGATTCTGAAAACCTTTAACAGATTTGTCGAATGAAAAAGAAATGGTTTTCCAAACTTCGGAAATTTCATCGGTTAGAAAATTTGTTAAATTAGATAGCTATTCATATCAGCTCTCACAAGAGTACGGTTTCAAGTGCAAAATCATCCAATACCACTCGATGGGTTTTGTTGAATATTGAAAAGCACTATTTCCATTTGGATTTCTAACTTTCTCTTTTTGAGTTATGGGTGTTTTGCATGGTTTCTGTTTTTGGTAGAAAGTATTATAGAAACAGTCAAATTATTGAATTCTTAACTGCAGTTTATTCTATCGATAGATGTTATAGCCGCTTGAAAGTCTTGAAAATTCGAGCCAACAAAAGAAAACTAAGAATCCTGATCCATAATAGACTTTTTTGCTATTGACCAAGACTCATTGAATGACAGTAGTCTCAAATAGTTTAACACTCGGCAAGGTTTTCTCGTTCATATTAACTCAACTGACATATAACACCTCAAATTGAGAGATATCTCTCAATTACCTCCATCCACTAGCCTGCTTGGCATTACCATGATCGATTGTTCGAAAATGCGCGGCATAGTTGGTCAACAAGTCATTGCATAAAGCATGTCCATTTCTATGAATAAAAAAGTTGAATGAGAAAACGTCTGTCAAGGGTACTGTCAAATACCTTCCATCATAATGAATATGAGCATGGAAACTAGAATCAAATTCTAAGCCAGGTGCTATATTTCCAGCAGGACCTGTCAGAGGATAATCTTCTGGAATATGAAGAATTAAATGAATGATAATGCCTTGATAGGGTCCATCATTAATCAATACCTTAAAAATGACAGTAATTTACTTATTTACATAGGTCGAATGGTTATTTAAATACATACATTACAATGTAAAATAAATGGATTTGATTCATCTGGACAGCTGACACCAAGTCCTGGTATGGGATGTTTATCCAGATCTCTCAAGTCTCTAAAAAATTTCAGTAGAAAAATTAGCATTGCTATCATCAACACCTTCTTTCATTTATCTGCATACCGTATGATTCTCTTGGTAGCAGCAGCCTTGGTATTTTGTGACTTAAATGGCAAACTCATCATTAATCGAACACAAACTATTAACTAACTTGTTGAAGAATCTTTTATATAAAGGAAGTAGATGTTATGCAACAGGGTTTTTTCTTTTTTCGTCCGCTAAGAGTAAAAATCTACCCTGAAATACTAAACGGCAGTCATGTGGGACAGAATAGAAAAAAACGTTGACTCACTTCTACGTTGATAAAAGAAATGTAGAAAATCATTGCACAATGACAACGTAACTGCAATTGTACATTTACAACTGTTCTTTTTTTTTTATAATTTAAAATAAGTATTTGAAGTCAAATGAGAAATGACTTTGTGAATATACTTTAAACAAAATACTATTAAAAATTCTATTTTGATTTCTAATGATTAATTTTTTTACTTCTCGTTGGTTGCTGAAATAGCCATTTATAAAAACGGGTCTACAAAATCGATAATGTTGAAAAAAAATTGGAATTTTTCGAAACAAATTGTTTTCTATATACAGTCAATACAGATCTTTCGGAATTTTCGTACGATAGAAATTGATACAGAAACCGACTAGCTATTAGGCAGCTGAAGGGCAATCAAGAACAAAGTTAATATATGCATTATAAACTTCAAGTCATAAAAGGCTGGAATAGTATTTACTATGAATTAAATGCCTTCCGAGGTTATAATATGACTCAAAGCAAAGAAGGATGCTTATTTAATAAAATGTGTCGATAAAAAACATTTAGTTCTTTGAAATTAATTTGATTGATTCACTACTCCCTTTTTTCCATAACTCCGATAATATCGGATAGATGTTGCTTTGACCAACGCAATAAAGTACGTAAAGAAAAAAATATCAAGACTTAGTATGTTGTTCAATTTCCTCTCCTTTTCCATTACATGGTCACAAGATCAATCAAACGACCCTATACGAAGAGATGGACACTCAAAGGATCAGACAACATAATTGCCATGTCTTGTTGACCATTCTATCTCATATCGAACACCAATGGCCAAGCTAGCGAAGAATATGGCTCAATACTGTGCTTGAATACAACTTAATTCTGTCAAGATAATGAATAAGTGATGGTGTAATTGATTCTTTTTGTTTTCCAAAAACTTTCACAGAAAATAAGTAATTTTATTTTTTGTGCAACACGATTTAATTGAAGTATGGAAATATGGCAATAGAAATTTCATTGTCTCTCAATAGGATGTAAATATCAGAAAACAAACAACAAAAAATCTTCAATGTTTTTGATCAAACGTTTTTTAGCAAAATTTTCTCAATAGAAAGTAACCATTCATTTTTTTATTGCGCTGAATGCATATTTAAGATGGGACATGATTCAACTTGGCTATGCACAATACTGCTAGAAAAATTAGAGCTCAAGAAAAATAAATTTGTCACTTAGCTATTCACTTTACATCATTCCAACAGATTGGGTGGGTGTGAGATGTTACTTCCTAAAATCAGAGATCTATTAAAGAATTAGAATGAAATACAATTGACTTTAAGATAGGTATCCTTTGTCCTTCTTTTCCACTCAAGATAATATGTGATGATTAAGATCTTTTATCATGAATACACATGAATAATAAATGCGAACGGTATAGCTATAGATGAGTATGATCCTTTGAGAACGACACCGACAACTACCGTTTGAACAGTCATTCTTGAATTATAGAGTCTTAACACGTAGTTTTTCGAAATTTCTGACTTTTAGAGTTTCTTGTAAGATATTCATTAAAAATCGAAGGTTCAATATTTTTTAAAAAAGACTCGTTGTTGTATGTCATATCTTGAATTGAACAAAACCAGTTATGGCTAAAAGTAATTGGTTTTTATATATAATAAATCAGAAAAGAATAGAGTTATTTTTATTATTTAAGCAATTGAAGATTTAATATTATTATTGATAATTGTTTTAGTACTAAATATTGATGCTCGAGCTGTTTGTCCAAGTAATTTAAGATTTTGTCCATTATCAATTGTTGTTAAAGGTGTTCGTTTTTTAACTGTTGATTCAGCTGGTCCAATTTTTCGTCGTGTTTTAGGTAATTTTGATCGAGCTCGAAGATGTGTATAAAAATTAGCAAATGATTCAACAATAATTGGCATTGGTAAATCAATAATTAATACACCAGCAACTAAAAAAAGAAACTATTAATTTGTTTTTTTTTTATTCTCTAAAAAAAAAATGACATTTCAGTACCTGTTGAAACAGCACCAATTAACATTCCTAACATAGTTTTTGGATATAAATCTCCATAACCAATTGTTGACATTGTTATCATGTTAAACCATAAAGCATCTGGAATTGAACGAAACATATTCTCATTAGGATGTCGTGTTGTCATGCGTTCAGCATAATAAATTAATGCTGCAAATATAGCAACAGCAATTAAAACAAAGAATATTAATAGCCATAAAACGGATGATGAATATTTCATTGATGTTATAATAACTTTTAAACCTGGATGATGATTAAATAATTTAAATAATCGCATTATACGTATAGTTGATAATAAATCAAGAGCTTCATTATCATTAACATTAAGTTTTATTAATGCCCATGTAAAATAAAACCAAAATGTTGCTAGAACAAAAGAAAAAGAAATATTCTACATTGTTTTTTTTAATTTCTCTTGCTCTTGCTTTTATATGCATATATTATAATCATCATTTATTCTAAATAATACGAAAGTCTTCAACTAATAGATGGATTATTCTTATGATGATATACTTATTACAATAATATAGTCGTGTAAGAAGAACTTATAATTATGAAAATTAAATGTAACACATATCTTTAATGTAATCGAGAACATGAACAGTTATTAAAATATATATATAAAGCATGCACTATATTTAAAGCTTGTGTAGAAAGGCGTAATAAACTCACAATGAGTATTGTGTTATTTTTACATTATTCAAACGAGCTTATTTCAAGAAAAGTGATTGACAACCAAAACTAAATTGATATTGAGTATGAATCTATTGTTCTATGTTTCGATCGTTGGTAAGGTGATCGAATAGTTCATCACTATCGTTGTATTCCTAGTTAATGTCCTTCATGAAAAAATGAGAATTAATACAAGTCAAAAACTGAGAATAAATCAAATCAATAGAGTTAGCTTTAAAAATAGACTTCTATCTTTATAACTATCAAAACAATTGTAAATGATGCAAAAAACTAAAATAATAATATTCAACATATTTAGCATTAAATGATCTCAATTCAAAGGTACATAATTAAAAAGCATCAAGAATTTTAATTATGAATATTGATTTATATTATTTTATCTTAAAAATATAGAAATTACACACGTCTGTTTAGTTATGTCAACATGTTCAAGAAAATAATATGTATAGTGAAATACTAGATGAAGAAAAATTCTTGATTAAGAAAATGCAAAAAATCAAATACTAAGATCAATATTTTTTTTTTTCTCAGACAGAAAATAAAAACAACATACCAAGAAAATCAATAATATTTAAAAATGATTGACAAAATTCTTTTTTATTTGGACTAACAATAAATCTTATCATTATTTCAAATATAAACCATGTATTGCCTAAATAAATATATAAATAAACTGAATGAAATAAAATAAACATACATATCCATTCAACAATGTCAAATGATGGATGAACATGCTGTCGACTTAATGTTGGTGTTCGATCTGTTGTTGTTTTATTAACATAAACAGTGACAAAATCAATATCAGTTATACGAAACATGGATAATGTTTGTAAAACAAATGATAGTATAGATACGAGAATAAAAAATATTGAAATTACAGTAATAACTTTAGCTATAGTTGATGATCGTGGTTCTTCAAATATTTGCCATATAATCATTATCATTTTTTTATATTTAGGTAAACGACCTTGAATATAATCAAAATTATCATCCCAACCAAATTTTTTTATTATTTCTTGTTGAGATGAACGTACTGTATCTAATTCTAAACTATCTAATATTGATAATGTTTCTGCAGTTGATCGATGTTTTGTATAAGTCATCCTATAAGAAGAAAAAAAAAACAAACAAACAAACATGAAGGCAATTATTGGTTTTCTTTTTTTTATTATTGTTGTTGTTATTATTGTTTATATACAAACCAACAACATGGTTCAACTTCTTCACGTTGTAAACCCCAATATGATAATTCATCTTCAAATAAAGGTCCACAAACATTTGTTGGATAATGTAATTTTCCTGTTCGATAATAATTTAATATTTGAGAAAAAACACCCGGATGACGATCAAAAAAATATTCATTTAATATTGGATCATAATATGATAATTGTTCAGTTAATTTTGATAAACGTGTTGCTGGTAATTTTTTTAATGTTGATTTTGATGTTTCAAAACGTGTACCACCAACATTAAGAATAATACGTGCATCAATATCTGAATTACCAAGTAAATTTACAGCCATTAAAACAAAAAAATAACAAAGATTGCCGGATTTTCAAATGACTTAATAAAAATGTTATGTCTTGAATTATATGTTTTATTTATTTAATAGACCATCATGCTACATACATACCTTTATTAATTGCAAGAAAAGAAATAAGAACATGCAATACTATTGATGATTATTGTAATAGAGAAAGAAAGTTTTGGCTTATTGATCATAAAGCATATGCCTAACAACGGCCAACATTTGTCGAGATGAAGGAAGAACAAAATTAGGCTCTAGTTCCACTCACTCGTATTCTTATATCAAATAAAAACTAGCAAACGACAACGAGAAAAATAAGAATTTCTTCGTATATATATTTTTTTTTCTCTCGGAAAAAAGATGGTAAGAAATGTATTTCTGTAAAAGAGCACACACAATGACAAAAAAAAAAAAAAAAAGAAGAACAAGAAAAAATAATCGATGCGATGTGCGTCGCTTGCTGTCTTTCTCATGGACGTGCACGCACATACACATTGACGCATATAAAATAGAGTTACTTTTCAAATCATTGATGAATCGCCGTATGCAACCATAGTTACATCTTCATCAATAGATTGTTCATGTGATTTTCGTTGTGAACGAGTATTTGGCGTTGCATCACCTAAATTTGGTGATTGCATATCATTTCCATTTTTATCTCGATTTCGAGCGAATGGACTTTTTAAAATAGATAACAATGTCTTTTTGCCTGCTTGTTCATCAATTCTTTGATCAGCATAACGATCAAAAATTGGTTTACGTTTAGCTAATTTAACTTTACCATCAGCATCAGGTTCATGTACACCATAAATAGTTTTTCCATCACGAATTACAAGAAATTCAGGATTAATTTCACGATCTTTATCTTCTAATTCACGTAATTTTTGTGCATAACGATTTAAATCATCTGTATCAACACCATCGGGATCGTCATAATCAACTACATCAACATTAGCAGGTTCACCAAAAAGTAAATTTTTTTCATCACGTACAAGTGTATTTAGTCCATTACGAAAACGAGTTAAGAAATTACTTTTTGGAGCTGTTGTTTTTTTTCCTGCTTTTTCATCTTTATTACCACCGGGTAAAAGTTTTTTTATACGATTTTTTCCATCTGTACGAGTTGATTTTGGAAAATTAATAATAGCCCATTGATCACCACCAACATAGTCAGTAAAATTAACACCTGATGCTAAATTATTATATGCATCCATGATAGCTGCTTCATATTCAGTTGTATCATTATCAAATGGTGCTGGATTTTCCATATCATCAATCATAGGAATAGTATCATTTGGATACAAATCTATTTCTAAAATAAAAAAAATTTTTTTTTTAAAGTTTTTCTTTATGAGATTATGATTCAAAAAGAATCCGAGTATTCTAACATGATATCTAATTATAAATTCAAATGAAAGACATTTTTTTTTGTCATTAAAAAAACAATTATGGAGTTTATAATTTATGCATCAAATTTCTCAGATGTCTATGGTATTATCTATTTAAGAAATACGATGTATGAGATAAACATACCTTGGTTTGTAGAAGATACATCATTGAGATTAATATTTTGTAAATTTTCAAATGAATCGGACATTGTTTGTATGGGTTGTTTAACTTTTTTAGATTTTTTCTTTTTAGGTTTTACATCATTAGTTGATTCTAATAAATCCATAGATGAAGTTTCAATCATTTGAAAATCATCATCATTGATAGGAGATTTTGGTGCTTTGGATTTTTTCTTTTTGATAGATTCTTCTATAAGTAATGAATCATTATTTTCATTAACTATTTCAATTTTTGGTGCACGTTTTTTCTTTGATTTAATTGGTGTTTCTTGATCAGGAATAGATACATCTTGAATACTATTCTCTTTTTCAAGAGTATTGCGTTCTTTTGTTTCATCCATCTGATCTAATTCATAAATATTTGTCGTATTTGGAATTTTTGGTGCTTTTCTTTTGTTTTCACTACTTTTTACTGGCATCTCTGTTTCGTTTGCTGGAGCTTTTGGTGCACGTTTCTTTTTTGTAGAACGATTTTCAGTAGTTTCATTAGGAACATCGTTATTGTCTATGAAATCGTCTATTTCTGTATTCATCATCGTTAATTTAGATACTTCTTTCTAAAATATAAATTATATTTAATGACCTTTTGACGCGAAAAAAAAAATTTGCGTATGAAATATATGATATTAACACTATTAGGACAATATTTGATGAGTAAGCAAATATAAGTTGTTTTTTTTTCTTCAGCTATTCAAAAATCGATGAAGCATATCCTCTCATTTGCTACCAATTGCATAAAGATAAATATAGGATATGATAGAAAACAAATTGTAAACAAATTATTACAAATAAAAGTACACAGAAAAAAAAATGATATTATTTTTTTTTTTGTAATTAATCATAAGTTTGGTTTTTCTTGTTTCTTGTTGTCCTATGAATAAAGAGCGAAAAAAAAAAACAAATCAAAGAAAAATAAATCATAATATTGATGAATACCGTTGAGAACAATTATGAACACGTCTCGGTGGAACACTCTAAAAGTAAAGAAAAAAAAATCACAATAAAAAAAAAGAAACAAAATTTATTATTTCTTGTACTTTAGTTCGTTTTCGTATAGTTTCTAATTCAGTTTCATATGCTTTTAATAATGTTTCAAGGTATTTTTCAATTTCATCAATACATCGATTTTGTGGATTAAATGCATTTTCAATTAAAATGTTATATAATTGTCGATTGATAATTATCTAAAACAAAAAATATTGAAATTTGAAAAAAATTTCTTTTTTTTTTTGTTAAATTTTACACAATGATTATGAATTCGAGCTTCCTTTAATTTAAATAATTCTTCTGCTATTATTTTATGTCGTTCATAAAGTTTAACTGATGTTTTAATAGAATTTGATGAATGAATTATTATTCGATGTAATGAATTTGATCTTAACAAAAAGAAAAAAAAAACAAACCATGATAGGTTACCAAAAAAAAACCTCGAAAAATGCTCTTTTCTTTCAGTACTTTTTGTCATCACTATGATTAATTGATGTTATTGTGGTTTTTGATTCAGCATATATATGACGGCGCTGTTGTGCAGTATGTTTTTCTTCTTTTGAAGTATTTTTTAAATATGTTTGAGATTTTGATGTTTTTATTTTTAATTCTTTAAAATGATCATCAATTATTTTATTATGTAAACATAAATTAGCTTGATTTAATAAATATTCTGTTGATTTTTTTGTTGGTATTAATTTAACTATCGATTGAGAAGATGAATATTCAGATAAAGAAGTTCTATTATTATTATTATTCTTATTAGTTGAAGATATTTTCGTTAATGTTTTTCGATGTTGATTTTCTATTAAATTTTTTTTCATTTTATATTGACGAAAATATTTTTGAATACGTCGAGCTAAAATATGTACTAGTAAATTGCCTCGTTGACCACCATGATTATAAACGAGATATTCAGCACAAGCATCTTGATGACGAATACAAGCAAGATCATATGGTGTTAAAAAATTACCCTAAAATATTAAAAATATAAATTTACATAGTACATTCAGAATTTCCTATTGTTACAAACATATAATTCTAGTAAATGTATGAAGTTTAGAGTATCCTAAACAGTGGATATTTTTCCATAGAGCAAGCAGTAAAGTTCATCGAATCAGAATCGGATAATCGTTCCGAAGATACATGCAATACTTTTTTGTGGTATTTTGTATTCAACGGTTAACGTACTCTATATATTTCTCAGGTGATTAGTACCTACCAAGACCTACTCGGCGGATTCTACCACGTGAACATCTCGTTTCTTAACTTAGAAAGTTAAACAATTACTGGGAGAGATCTTTAACTCAAGTTTGGAAAGCTCTCGCCAATTTTATATTGATATGCTAAAGAAAACTTTCATTGAAATTTTATTCGATTTGGATTTATGACTACTTACGAATTTCAAGCAGAAAAAAAACGATTTTTTTTTTGTTTTTACGAATCGATAAAGTGGAAGATGTAATTTCAGATTATATATAATTTTCTCAGAATACTGCGCGTAACAAAAAGTGTAAAGACTTCTAAGTTATCAAATAACCTATAAGTCAAAGTGAATGTTGTCCTATTAAAAAAGCATGCTTTCAATTTTTATAAGTTTCTAGGACTTGACTACAACATACTTTTAAATGTTTAATTTATTAAGTTATTAAAAAAACTGTTCACAGAATGTTTTAGAAACTGAGCTTGTACTTAGTAGGTATTCCTGTACTAAGATAATTCTCAGGAGAATATTCAAACAAGATCCTGTGACTTATTATACGGATGCTTTGTACACAATATATTTTTTTGATCATATTGATTATTGTGATCTATTTGAATTTTTGTCTTTACGCCCATGATAGAATTAATTTTTTTATTTTGAGTAAAATTCAAAATTCATAATAGAAAATTTCTCCGTTAGTTATATGAATAAAATATTCAGTGCTGTCTAATTCAATTGTGTATATTATTGAACAGATTGACACTTACATTCTATTCGTTGATTAGATTAGATAATTTTGCATACATAATGAAACTCATTAAATGTTATCTTCAATACGGAAACAAACATCCAGCTAGGCTGCTACAAAGCAACTCAACTGAAACAAATAAATTTGTTCATTTGCTATTTTGCATTCCATGTATTTGTTTATACAAATTAGCTATGCATTAATAATATACGATTCAGAAATAAAACGTTACAGAATGTCTATTCCTAGATCTCATTGATAAACATGTTCTGGGAGGAATCATTTGTTTTTATCAACTACTAAGATATTGTTTTCTTTGTTGTATAATTTGACCTATGCCAAATAAAATGAGTCGAGAAACCAGAAAAACATTCACATAATAAACATCGAAAATTTATTATATGAATATTTTTTTTTTTGAATGTACTAGACAATTTAAAAGAAAAGAAAATATTCTATTACTGAATAATAATAAAGAAATAAACATTTCGTATCATTATATTTGTGCTGTATGTTATTAAAGTTTTATATTAATTCAAAAAGTATGACAAAAGTTTAAGATAGGTACATATGACCTCGAATTTTTCAAAGAAAATGTTTGTCAAAAGCAGCTACTTTATCAGATATACTTATATTCTTTCAAAGTACTTTATATCGATGTAAAATGAGTCCCATGATCATTGTCAAAATAAGCAACAGATTTGATTGTTTCTTGAATAATTTTTGATAGAAACAAGATAAAGACCTGGAGTTTTCATCAATCAAGAAAGAAGACACTAGACTATCTAGATATGTCAAAATCTGATCAGTCAACAACTGATTAATTAACTGAGTTCTCTGTGAATATTTGGAAAACAAAGATACTCTAGAATCGTTTTTCAGTGGATTTTGACTAAAAATATGATAAATTGATCAAGAAAATTCTTCTCTTTCTATCTATTCTAACCTCAACTTTCTATACTGCTTGGTTCAAGACTTATAAGGATCTTCCCGGTTGTAGCAAATCGACATTTGGAAACTTTAAAAATCATGTACATAGCATAAAAACCGAAATTTGAAGTATTGAACAAATAGTCTCAGATCACTTTAAAGTTGAATGAAATTTTCCAAGGTTAATTTGTTAAAATCAAGAGTCTCCAGAAAATCCTTATAATCCTCGAACGAAACATTCTAATCATATCAAAACTCATAGAAGTATTCTTATTTACTATTTAAGAAGAAAAAAAAAAACTTACAGCTTTTGTTTGTATAAATGAATTAACTCTTGCACCGCATTCAATTAATAATTTACACATTGATATATCTCCTAAACTAGCAGCCAAATGAAGTGGTGTTCTATGTTCATCATTTTGAATATTAACTTTCTTAGGATATAATTGAAGTATATATCGAACAACATCTAAAAAATAAATAAATAATTTTCCATAAAAACAAAAAAATCAGAGACAATATTTCATATACCAAAATATCCTGTTTGTAATTGTGATAGATCATTATTTTTATTACGAAGTTTACTAAGTGATATTGAATTAATTGCTTCATGAATAGGATAATCACCACGTTTATTTTTTATCCAAATATCAGCATTACATTCTATTAAATGTTTTAAACAATTAATATTTCCTTTTAATGCTGCACAATGACTTGGTCTATTATTATTAAAATTAAGATAATATTAAGTAATTAATTAACTTACGTTCTTCCACGATTATCTTTATGATTTGAATTAGCTTTTAAATCAAGTAAAACTCGACAAGCATTCGAATGTTCTAATGTAATAGCATAAAATAAAGGTGTACAACCATTAATATCTTCACCTAGATTATTTTATTGTTAAAAAAAGAAAAAAAAACATAATTATTTTAATTGTTTAATACAAACTTTCTATTGAACATCCGTATAATTCGATTAACATACGAATACAAGATGTATGTCCACAAGTTGCTGCACAATGAAGTGCTAAATTAAAAGTATTAATATGAAAATAAAATATTGAATATTAGAAGAAAGTTTTACCTGTAAGAGAATCTTTATCGGTATGCAATGGATTTGCACCAGCTTTGTATAATATACCTAATGCATCAATAGCATCTAAATATTAAAGAATATATATTCAAGAAAAACATATAATAATTTGTTTATTGAATAATAAAAATGTCGAAAGATCAACCTGAAAATTTTTGTTCCTTAAATGTGTTTATCTCAGATCATCCGTCCGATTACATCCTCACTACGTTTTAACATACATTTGTTCTTACAGTTAGTTGTTATACATAGGTTGGGGAGATATCGACCGATTGAATCTAACACTAGCCAGCACTTCGTACAGCAAGGTAGACGAAAGGCAAAGATATTCTTCTTTCTTCCAAATATTTCCTTTCGATTTCACTGAATTTTTTTGTCTAAGGATACTTCTTCATATTTCGAAGAGACTTGGCAAGTTTTCGGAAGATTCGAGACTCTAGAAAAAAATTTGATAGCTTAGTCAAATATTAATAGGAACTCAAAACATTTTAAGGTTTTTATTATAACACAATGTGGTATTTAATGATCAAAAAAAATCCATGAAATCAGAAGGAGATATCACAGGAAGTTATCTCGTTAGACAGAACTTTTTTTTATGGTTTCCATTGTAAGAATTCAAGATGATTGAACTTTTCATTATGAAGAAGTAGAGTTTCTACTGAAATTTGATTTATGAGCATAGATCCTCAACTGATAATAGTACTGGTTGAAGTAATTTTTCATGTACAAATAGAAACCAATGGAGTTAGTAAAAAATCGCTTCAATCAATATTGGTTACTCGAAGAATCTTTTCTCGTCAGAGATGAATTTGAACCTACTTTTCTTACTTTTGGCTTCATTCAGAATAGACAATAATGTTCGCTCTCGATTGTAAAAAGCTTAGTTTAGATATCAAGATCAGTATAAACCTTACTATATATAACATTGAAACACAAAAAAAAACAGTTGTCTTAGTTGCAGTTCTGTTCAAACTAAATCATATCTGTCTAAGGATTGTGACTATTTAGTTTACTCATGCCTATTCTGACTAGATCAACTGTATTAAAGCATATCAGATTTTATTCTATTCTTTATTTCAATGAATTCTAACAACTCATACTATCACAATCAAATAGATCTTGACTGTAGCATCTATTGAAAATTCTATTATTTATTCGACAAATTTATAATAAATCGAACTACAAAAAATTATTTTCTTTTTTATTTTAATGTTACTCAAACGTTTTTTTTTTCTTCATTTTAATATTTTTCAAAGAAAAACAAAAAACAAATTCTTACTTGCACTAGCAGCCCAAATAAATGGTGTTCGTTTTTGTTCATCAAGACAATTAACATCAACATTATTATCAATTAATTTTTTTAAAATAGCTAAACCTAATACATCAAATTAAAATTAATCTTTCTTTCAGACAAACAAACACCTTAATACTTTTAGCCGGATCATTATTTCCACACAATTGTGATGCATAATGAATTGGAAAAGCTCCATAAATATCAGATGTATGTACCGGTGCTTCATATTGAACAAGAATATCAAAAAGATCAAGATGTCCACAGACTAATTTTTATTTTAATTAAGTTTTTGTTTTATAAATACAAAAAAAAAAAAAAAAAACAATTTACCTGTTATCCAATGAATAAGAGAATGTAATTCATTATCAACTAATGTTACATCTGCACCTTGTTCACAAAAATATTTTACCATAATATAATTACCATTTAAACAAGCTAGAATTTATTGATATAATTTCAAAAAAAAAAATATCTATTTTTATAATCGTTTACCTAAATGAAGTGCTGAAAAACCTTCATTATCTTTTATATTAATAATAGAATTATCATATTCTAATAAAAGTCGAGCACAATCAATATTTTGATGATCACAACAGTAATGAAGTGCTGTTCGACCTTGTTCATTTAATTGATTAATATTATACTAAATTATTGATTTAATATTTTCAAAAACAAAAAAAAAATAGACATTCTTACTTTTTGTTCAATTAAATATTTTATTTGTTCAATATCTACTTTTTGGCAAGCTTCAAATAATAACATATCTAACATTAAAATAATGAATTGTTTAAGAGAGATACTTGTAATTTGACACTTTATATCTTAATTATCAATATAAACATAGTAACAAGAAAAACAAAGTAAAAGAAAAATAGAGAAAAGAAAAAGATACTATTCTTTATATTATATTCAATAATGAATGAACATCGAAAGAAATTAACAGACATTCATGTCATTCTGTTGCTGTCATGCCAGCAGGAAAGAAGATAAGAAGGAGAAAAAAAGAAGAGAAATGAGAGATATAGAATATGACAATTTTTCATGCGTTCCAAAGATGATAAAAAAAAAAAAATTTAACGAGAGAATAGATTAGAAATATGACATAATAACTAATGAAATGAATAGAAAATATTTTCAAAATTTTATATAAGTACAAAAACAAAAAAATGATTTTCTTTTAAGTTTTTCATATTCAATGGAAAACAACATATCACTTAAGAAAAGAATATAGAATCAAAAGAAGAAGAAAAAAAAAAGAATACAATGAATTAACTCATGCGTATTTCTTTTTATTTCACCTTTTTTAACTCTTTTATTTCACTTGAATGATGCATTAGTTATAAATAGAACTGCACTTTTCTATGAAAAATGCTCTTTTTTTTTGTAAGCATATGGATCTTACCTACGTAGCTTAATTATAGTTATTTGCTTTGATATAGAATATAAAGTAGTTTTTAATTAAATTAGTCAATCTCTTGAGGTGATACTCAACTATTTATTTTAATAATCTTATGAAATATTTAAGTAGATCGTCAACATTTTTATATTTGTGGACATTTTATTTAGAAAGTATATTAACAAAAAAAAAAACATTGCTCATGGGACTTTTTGAAATGTAGCTTAAAAGCTAATTTTTATAATATTTTAGAAAAATTTTTTGTTAATACTATATCGATGAATGTGGAGTCATATAATCCGATGTTTTCGAATTAGTTCTTTGTATTCAAGCTGATGTGTTGATTACAATTAAGATATTTTATTTTATTATTATTTATTTAGATATTCACTCTAGTGAATATTGTCTATCAAATTGCACTTTAAATCAAATTGAAATATAAAAGATTTTTGATAAGTTCATCCTATAGTAAAATTTTTGTTCGCATTTAAAACAGATTACATATTATAAAAACATAAATGAAATACTCGAAATGAATTATTGTATATATAATTTTTAATGTCAAGGTTTATGGTCCAACGAGGTAATGATTTCAATATCTGTATTCATTGTTTATGAAGGAAGTACATTAAGTTTCTTTAGCTGTTTACACCCTTTCACACATCCACATCTATAGAATTGAAAAAAAAAGTCGTTGACATAGAGAGAGATGAGCAGAAGTATCCTCTTTCATAATCACAATACCTCTTGATGAAATATTCTACTTTTTTTCCAATCGGGTTTCTTAAGAAGTTTTCAGTTAAATGATATAGTTTTATGCATGTGTGAGTTGATTAGTCGGTAGGTCTGGGCATTTTCTGCGTGTACATTCATCCTCCTGCACTTTATATACAGCAAGAAACATGAATGCGTACGAATAGATTTTCGTAGCAACAATTATTTCAATGATCCAAACCGTCCGAACATCTATCATGCACTTCATTCGATATCTACAAGATATAATATTATGGATTGTTTGACAATCACGGTCAAGTATATAAGACAAATTTTGAAGTCAGAAATTCGGTTCGGTTCTGGTAAATGTAACATAAAATAAAATAATATGTTAGTATTAATTGAATTCATTGTTGAGAGCAGCTGTAGTTAATTATCGTTTGAAATAGGTTTTGAGTAAAATTTCGAAATGATCTTTCGAGCTACTCTCTTGAATAATTTTTAGTCTTATATTCTTTGTTTAATCAATCGTATTGAGCTATTCTTTTAACGTCTACGCCAGAGTTTCGATGTAGGTCTGTTTACAATGAAAATGCAGATCTACATCCATACACACTCACACAACATCTATTGATCAAGGTTATATAATTGATTATTTCCTAAAGTCAAATAAGAAATCAATCCTATCTATTGTTTTATTGTTGATTCTAATGTCAATCATTTCAAATATAATAAAGAAATTTCTTCAATTGACTTTATTCATTTTGTGAGACTGACATGTATTGTTAGTAAGAAAAAACAATGAGAGGAAGCTGTAAATCAAATTTTTCTACCTTTTCAGATCTTTCCACTGTAGGGAGGTACAAAAGAAATAAATAATTGCTGTATTTGCTTTGTCTCATTTAGCTACTTGATATACTTGGCATATATTTAAAAGTGATAAAAATTGGAGAATACAGCCGATTTCAAATACTCCATATAACTATTTCGATAATTGTCTTATTCAACGACTATGTATAGAGTTTTATATACGAATTGAATCAAAGACATAGGATACATCTAATGAGAATCAACCTCAAAAAACTAATTAGCTATTGATAATTAGTGAAAAGATCTGTTTCATATTGCAATTTTCTGTGTATTAAATAATTCAAGGTACATAGCAAACATATTTACTATTTTCTATTTTGCAACTTTCTTATATAGAACGAACGAGCAGCTTTAACTCAAAACTTGCACTCATAATCTTCTGTCAAAAAATATAAAAATTATACTCTATATTTTATCATCAGATGAAAGAGGTATCATATACTATCAATCTATTAATTCAGCCGAATCCGCTGATTTTATTAAATTTAATAACTTCTGAAGAATAAATTTCGATATTTCCTCTTGATCACTATCTTGCCAATGCCCGTACCTTCCTCAAATGCGATCAATCTCTCGTCTATAAAACAGAATATTCCTCAAAGTATTTCATTCTTGTCTTACTGAAATATGAACTATCTACTGAATGCTTCAATCATATAGTATGAGATAACGAGGTATGTTCAGATTTCCGAAAAAGGAATTTTCTGAAAATACCAAAACACCTCTGATACCATCTCCCGACCATCATCCACATCAAGAGAAATTTCATTGAAATTTCTGTAATTACCATTCTATGAGAAAGAAATTTTCGCGAAGTTTTCGAATT